ATTTACCGATGCAGCCTTTTCAAAAAAATTTTAATTCTGCCGAGAGCGCCAGTTTCACACTTCACCACACCGCATAGATTAGCCAGAGCCAATGATGCCTTTAGTTCTGCATGAATCTGAATTCCGATGCCGAAATCTGCGTTGATGGTCGTTAGGGATATTCACGTAAGGCAGACCTCTTGAAAATTTCGGATCAACAGAAGAACTGATAATCCTTTCAACCACTCTACCCAAATGCTCTTTTTGGGAGCATCTACAGTTAACACAATCAGTTCTGTAAGAACCACCATTTTCAGTGGGCATTCACCTGGGGGTGTCTCGAAAATCGTATGTTTGATGTACATACCGTTCCGAAATTTTTGCTCGAACTCAATTGCCAGATTTACTGATGATCTATTCCTTGCTGAGAGATTACCAAAATCTGCACGCATAAATGGTACCGCGTCTTCTTTTCATTCAGATGTCAGTTGCAACAAAACTAATTCAACCACCAAAATATGGAAATCAGCAGGATGGGTCATGGTCTTTTGATAGTGGTGTTAACAACAGTCGAGAACAATAATAAAAACCATTCAAAATTTCTTTCAGGTTTTGTTGGTCTAGGTTGATGAGTCATAGAGAAGGCGATGTGGAGCTAACAAAGAAAAGAGGGTAACCATCAACGGTGTTATGATCCTGAGATCCTTAGTTGATGATACTTTTCTATACAGAAATGCTGGAGGGGGAAAGGGCAGTACGCAATGGAACTCAATATGTTGTGTCTCTTACGCTCCGATAAATAAATTCAAAAGAAAATGACGGGTCAGCCGATCGCTCCCACTTTGCCTTAGGAGCGAGGGGAATTTTCACTGCGCGTTATTAGACTGAAATAGTGAAATGAGAAGAGAATGAAGGAAGAAAAAATAAAAAAAATGAATGGGGTAGCCTTGTACAGTGTCAGTAAGAAGTCCCAGGGTCGCATTACTGGCTTCACTATATACTCACTACATTACGCAGAACTCACTACACTCCATTAACCTACCCACCCATTTACTGATTTATATGTAAAGAAGGAAATGTAAGAGTTTCATTGAGAGAATGGGTTTTCCATATCACTACCTATCATACCTTTATCGTAATCATGAACGTTTGCGGACGGACACACCGACATACCGACATACCGACATACCGACAAACCGACATACTGACAAACACACAAACCGACAAACCGACACACCAAGTTTCTGCTTTATAAATGAGATATATATATATATATATATTTGTATCAATATTATATTTGGTTAGTAGTGGTGAAAACTTTTTTTTCACTGGATTACTACTTCCGGAGTCCTGAAATGTGGGGGAGCCCCGTAGATAACCAACATTGAGCCCAAAAACGTTTTGCAAGCGTTTAAGACGCAGTTCATGGAAAAGAAAAACGAGCACATGCATCAAGGAATCGAACCTTGATGTCATGTCTACCAGCCCACCGTCCTATCAGCTGCGCCATCGTTGTGCAATTACAACTTTGTTCGGCTCGGTGATCCGGTAGTTATTGTGGTACAACAAAGGGAGGCATCGGTCTCGTAACTTTGTTCCCAGAATCGTTTAGCAAATTTGAATGCAGGTTTAGGATCAGTGTTCGAAAACCAACCACGGCGGTTCACATCTCATCTTGAATGGCCAATGCGTCCAAGTATCCTTCCCTTGTTAGTGGTCTTAAATTAAGTGGCCGTATTCGTATCTAAACAATGCGCAATGTGCTTTATTTTTTCGGACGTGAAGTAACCATTACCAACTGTAGAACGGATAGAATTAGTCGAACGAAGTGAGTATCGATTCAGGATTTTATATCCAGGACTACATGTGTGATCGAGCCGTTCAGCACTATCTCACTTTCACCCAGTAATTATAAGCATAATGATGCAAGGAACAAAAATGGTCCACTAAGTCCATTTATGGAACGATCTCTTACCTCAAATTGGGACGCAAAGTGCTCCACAAGAACATCTCGAGCCGTATGAACCTCAACCGATGAGTCATCCTGCTTCAAGAAGCCAACGGCAGGTGCTCTGACGCTGCGACTCGCGTTTGTTCGTATGCAGTCCTTAAATATCATCATCAAGACACTTCCCTAAAAGCTTCATTTTTTGATGATCCTGATTTCCTAGATAATCCTTCATTAGTTGCACTATCACACACTTTTCACACCACAAGTTATCCACAAATGCACTTTACAGAGTAGAGCAAACTGATCGGCTCTGCTGATATTTTTTGATTAATTTTTCTACCGATGTGAATTGGTACTTCACGGAAATATAGGCAGAACTCAGATTTGTAGGAAACGAAACCTTCCGGAAGAATGTCGGTTTGTATACCGCTCTATCCTATTGTTTTGTAATAAGAAGTATTGGCAAAAATTGTGTCAGACAATGAGCAAACTGAGTCAGATTTGAAATGAGTCGATAAGATTAAGGAGTCTATAAGAACTATAACTCTACATCACTGATCAACGACGTGCATATTTTCGCCATGCCTGGCGCATAACCAGTTTATCCACATGTCGCATTTCGCGCTGCTCATTTCAAAGTAGTTTTCATGAAAGCCTGAGCATACCCGGAAAGGAGATTTTAGAGCAGCTGACAACAGCGTGAGATCTGCTTCGATGAGCAGAGTGAGATGGTGATAAGACTTTTCTCTGGTGATCCTAGCTGCTGTGCCAGAACATTTTCGTGAACCTGGCTGCAATTCCATGTCATCACGTTTGGTTGGGACGATCTGAACGAGGGACCACGACTTATCACCTTCCGAGTTGCAGCCAACTGGGCTATTGCAAAGTAAGAGAAATAAACCAACGTCAACTGCAAAACGAGCGTTAAGGGCTTTTGAAATGGAGGCCAAATTCCTCCGTCTGCAATGCGACTTTGTCGTTGTAAGAATGGATATGTTGAGATTACCTGAAACTTCGATTTGCGATCCCATCAATACAAATTTCGACGAGAATGTTCATTTTAGAGTGTTGCCTCAGAGAAAATCTGGGGTTCAGCAAGATCATGGGTAAGTCTATGCACGTAAGAAACAAAGGAAAAACGTATAGTCATTATCAGTTTTTGGAAAGAGACATCACAGCTTATTATCTAAGAATGACAACGCAGTCAACCAAACAACTGCAACTATCAACAACATCTTCGGGCGTCACAGGGTGTCGAATAGCCTATTCACAACTTGAGATTCGACTGGTATGAGCTAAATATAAACTCAATTTCATGCAGCGCAAAATATCGATCAACCCTATGTTTTCACAAAAAAAACCCTCACAAATATAAGATTTGAAAAAAATCACCTCGATCATGGTAAACCGTTCCTCCACCGCTATGGCGTCGTGCCAAATCGATATTATACTCCTTGAGAAATGGAATGTTTGCCTCCAGCCACGGATTTTGATGACGTCCCACTACCACGGCTGGCTTGTTACTGCAAACTTTGTATAGGATTCTTTATAACTGAAGATTCCCATTTCGACATGGTTTTGCCTGCGAAGCCGTAAACAGGCATCTTTCATAGTCCACGACCGGTCGCGCGACCGATCGTGGACTATGAAAGATGCCATACAAGTGTGCGATACTTGGCTGTTCGACAGATGGAGGGTGAGGAATTCTAGATACCAGACATGAAAGGGTATAATTACCCTAAAAAGGCAGTCTTTATCAAAATCATATTAAATATTAAAGTATGGCTGTAGAACCACTAGCAAGTATTACTAATTCCCAGGTTCCCAAAGTTTCATAAAAGAACGAAACAAAGTTTTCCTACTCGCAAGCTCCCTATTTCAGATCGAGCCTTACTGAACTGATCCAATTTTCCGAACCTTCACAACTACCCGACCACCTACCTCCACATGAAGATAACTTGACCACCTTCCCCTATATTCGTAGTCCTGAGAAGATACTCCTCATACGCTAGATTTTTGAAGATACTCGTCGAATTCGATATAAAGATACGACCAAAGCCTTTACGAATAGCTTCGCACATGTCTCTGAAACACAAACTCAGTTGTTCCATCCCACAACTCGAAGGGAAGCACGTCAAAGTAGATTACGTAGGATGACGGTACAATTAGCCGCTATAGTAACTGCAATCATGATGCCAAAAGTGATAATCAAAGAGTATATTAAGGAGACTTGAGAAAAAATGTGCTTTGCCCGGACAAAGGTGGAAACCTCGAGGCTATAACGCACCATTAGAGCGCCATGCTTCGTACATATCATAATTATCAATTAAAAAGGTTCAGAACTATATTCAGGGATCAGGCACGAGAAGAAGTTCAACCTGACAGAAAATATCCGCCAATATCGTATCTCGTCCAGAACAGTCACACATCAGAACAAGAAAGATTCTTTATTCGTAATCACCCCAGTTCAAATTTATGACAACGAGAAACAACATAGGACAAACAGAATCAGATCAATGCGGTTGTAGCGTTACGGAATTTCGCCCAAGAAAATACGTTTGTCACTTCCGACGGATAACACTGAAGAAGCATTCATCCACTTTAACCTTGCCACTCATTCAATGGAAAGACAAGGACCTTGAAGACTTACATATGGGTTCAGTCGGATGCAAATCGGAGGCATTAACTGATCCTAGATGTCCTGGCAATTTATAAAGTATATATCGAGACGAGGCATCCCACACATAAGCAAATCGATCACTTGAACCAGCCGTAACTCGTTTACCGTCATCATACCACGAACATTTCAGCAAATTCTACAACGTAAATGAAACAACATGATGGTAAGGTCACAAGACAAAACGAAGCAACCTTTTCAAAGTTGTGTTAGGATTCATAAAAGGATTTCACGCAACGTTCTTGTGGTGCAAACGGCCTCACATCCCACATTCTTGCTAAAATGAAAAAGGAACATGAAATTTTGTTCGAAAGTGTATAGAAGGATGAGAAAAAAACTAATTGGGAAAACAGAAATTTTCATGAATACGTTCTGAAAGTATAAGACATTTCCAAAAACTTTTCGAACGTTTTCTACCTGGGCATAGTCATTTTTAATGTGAATTCCAACAGACACTAACTGAGGCATGGAGTGAAGTAAACGTGAAGTGCAGTGTTGAAATTCTATATATCGATGCTGAGAATATCCCAATATTTCATCGTGCTCAACCCCCATGCTAATTTATGAGATTTGCAGATATGAGGAATAAAGGATCGGACCTGAGCAACCTATACTACTAGACAAGAAGAAGTTGCCATTCGAACTGAGCGCTAAACCACAAATGATAAACTTGCGACCATGCATGGACATGGGAGACCCCGTCGCGTCTAATATCCATCACTGAAAAAGATAACTTGGGCTAATCCTTCAGCGTCCTAACTTGATTTCGTTATGCTAGCCGATACTTTATTACCCACTATATTTAGTTATTGTTTAGTTACTTACTTGTTTGCCGATATGCAGCTGATTTCGCAGTCTTGCCCACATAGCCTCATGTGCTCGTAGAAGGTGCATGAGCCTTTCCTTACCAAACATTTGTAACAATGACTTTTCCAATTTCCTGTATTCAGTTTGTCCGACCTGGAAGTAAATGTTGTGACACATTATTCACATCATCATGACACGAGTTTGTTTGCTCACTTACCACAGTTTGACATCTATCCTGTGATTCGTAATAAATAATGCAGTTTCCATATCGTTTTTTTTTCATAGGCATCTCTGTACGCCACACATAACAGTTGCAGCATTTGTTTGCGTTTGGCAGCACATCGGCTAGATCTTTTCGTGTTGGGTAGTCACCGTGAGCATAAGTGTTTCTATAGATGGAATATCTAAACTGTGGATTGAATTCTATTGTTCTTATAACATTTAACATGTACCTCGTAACCCAGAAACATCAACCGACTATGGCGATATACACTGAGTAGGTCCGCAAATGCATGTGAGTTGTTATCAGGAACGAGGCAGGAATGCTTTGAGTCTTCACGTTCGAGGAACGAAAAACATCACTGGCTGTGATCACGGCTCGTACGTCAATTTTTATTTTTTTCGCCACCGGCTTTCCAATTCCCTTTTGCTGCGAGAAAGAGTCGTCGTCCACAAACTTTAGCATTCGAGAAAATGGAACAGGGATTGGAAGGTCTGTGTGAGACTGCAAAAGTAATTGTGCGACGGCTTGCTTTTGTTACAAGTTTGACTATGTATGTCAACAACGATACCGAGGTGATGGACGCATTTCCTACATAAGCATTCTATAGTTGACTTTTTACTAGTACAATCCTTCCTGTAGCTCCATAAAATCTATTCGCCTGCCTGAAATAATAAAATATCTGCTAAATGAAAAGGATGTGAATGACAAGGAGTGGTTTTCTTGCCAGTATTTTTCGTTTGACCCTAAATAGGACCAGAGACTTCATTTGTTAACCTTGGTTTGTAGAGTGCCACCTATCGCAACGTGCAGTATAAAGATTAGGCGTTTTGCCGCATTCATTTTCGATTTCATTTCTTCTAAGTCCTCCTTAGTCACAAATGTTCCTCTGAAAAATATATTGCTACGTTCCCGAATGGTTATCGCACTTCCTCGATAGGAAATTGAGAATTGTCTATGTCACCTGCAATCGCTCACTACTTGATCCTTCTGTATATTCACTTTATCAAATAAGCCTTCCCCATTGATGCTTGGGATATCGCGTACGTCAAACCAGGAGAAATCCTTCAGTTGGGGCATAATTGATGCTGAGCTTGTCTCACACAAAGAAATATAGAGCCAACTTACTCGGATCGGTTGAGGTACTTGCCGTAGATTGAAACATTGTTGCTCGCATTCATCTTGGAATTATCCTGGTCCACCTGAGAATTGCCTGCTATCAAACCCTCGCATATAGCCGAACACATTCGCGGGGTTAGCGATCTCAGACAAATGGCAGGCATGACGAGCTCGTTTCTTCGCTTCCTCAGCTGCTGAAATTGCGCCTTTGCGGCAGTTCCTCGGGTCAGCACTCCGATTTACCTGATCTCCTTGCTTCTCGTCCTTCTTCATCCATCGTTCTCGTTGTGGTTGCTCTTGCTGATGACAAAGTCGTTTGCCTAGCAGGAGCAAAGGTGCCACCATGATGGCTGCGGGATGACTGTTTCCTCGCTTCGCCATTCCATGACAGTCACTTGCTCTCCACGTCTCGTTTTTCTTTTGATAATCGAGTATTTGGAGATACTATATGGTCTGAATGATAATCCAAACTGTTATCCGAAATTACGTCCCGTTGTCTATTTTTATTATTCACATACCTTCAGCTTCACTGCCAACTACTACTGGTGTCGTCCTCACGCATGCTACCGTTGTCGCTGGCGAACCACAAGAATCCTGTCGATACTAAGTAGGGTACTGGTAGGGACCGCTTTTCTGGCACTCTTACGCCTTGAACGTCTGCTGCTTCCACAGTTTCGTTCATCCATCTGTCCGGTAGTGTCGCATCTGCTTGGACTTAGTCTCATTTTTTTACTTTGAAGTTTTGCTAACTCTGATGTTAAAACATCTGAATTGTGTTGTACATCTTATAGAAGGACACGGTGCGGATGACAAAATATACGCACTCGATAAATTTGCTCCAAGATTTATCTCTATTAGTTCCATGGGTTGCGAACTCATTGCCATTATAGACCGATAAATCCATTGTTTGATGGAGAATCGCTTTCGAGGTCGCTAGAAATATGATATTCTTAATCTTCTTCATCCGCGATGCGTCCCTGCCTCGGTAGTTGTGATGAAGTACTACAAATAGTCAGTGCTCGAATGACAGATGTTCCAATGAGCTCGACTGAACTTTTGACTCACGCTGGAGGTTTTTCCAAAGTCTTCTTCAGTTTGGCTACGCGCGATCAAATCGCATGATTCTTGGTAGCTTCCTGCTCAGCGCAGAGCTTCAATTTAATAAAGTCTTAGATACAGGATAATTGATAACGATCCACATATATCTATTCCTGTGTCCTTTGTCGGTGTGCTGCATAAGATTGTGTGAAAAACAAATAACTGATAGATACGTATGTACAGATCTAGACCACAATCTTTCTTTTAAACACTTACGCTGTATGTTAGAAATATCTTTATCAGCGAAGTATTCTCAGCTGAGGCTTTTCATTTTCGAGCGCATGTGATTTTCATATTCCATACGTGCCACCCCGCCTTCACTGAACCAACGAAGGTCAATGGAAGCAAACATTATCGGTATGTCGAAGAATAAGGGGCACAACTGAGTCTAATTTCAGTTCTTACAACCCAACTTTGAAAAGAAATTACTCTTTGCTAACGAAGTTTTCCGCAGTGATCCAGCCATTCCTTCCATTTTTCATCGAACACGAAGTAGCATTTGTGGGTTCACGCATCCTACTGTAGTCCTTTGGTAGTGAATATCTGCCAACCTCAATCGCCTAATGAAAACGTTAACACTTTTACAAACCCCACTTTACTGACCCAAAACTGTTCCGACTTCCACAGGTCATCATCACTGGAGCTCACATCTTAAAGTCCAAGGTCATCGTAATTTCCGTACATATTGTTGTACAGCGTTTTATAGATGAGCTCGTTTTTGCTGCAGTACAGTGCATCAAATATGCCAGCACTGGAAAATGATTTGTTATTTTTAAAAACTGCTCTTATTACACACCTCATCACAAAACAGTAATCTAGACGCTGCATAAGATTCGCTGTTTTAAACCTCTGCACTATAGGTCTCAATCTGTTCTCGATTTACCAACAATCTACTAATTTCCTCACCACACAGTAGCGTTACGCTTCCTAAATACGACAAAGTCCTTAAGGGATCATCATTGAATGTATGCGCTGACAAATGATACCTGCGCCTTGTTTTCGGCGAGACCTTTCAGCTGTATTAAATCTTTTTCGCACTGTCAGCTCGTTTGACCTCATACTAAGCGCATCTGATCACATACTCAACAGCAAAATGTGTGCTTTTCGCGGCTCCTTGAAAGCACTTTTTCATCGAGCAGTAGATATTCTGTGTTGGAAACATTCTCAACTGCAGCGTTTGTAGAATGAACGCATGCCTCTGCCAATAACGATCGCACACTCACAGGTAAGCCTGTATGATGAAGCCTGCTGGAAAGTTCCTTCACGATCCCGCAGTAATAGGTTGCGTCATCAATGGACATCGTCCCCGTTAATCTGTACGAAAAAAATCGGCACCTATTTGTTCGCCAGCAAAATGCATTAGGAATTCTCTACCTTTTTCTAGCACACATTCCATTTTGCACAACTCTTCCAACATGATCCACATAAGGTTTTACGAGCCTGACTTCTTGGTGAATTTGTACATATCGTCATTTCGCACAGCTGCTCACTGTAAAACAATACTGTTTTGTTAAACATTCGCCTCAATTAAGATTTGAAGGGGAGGGGTGGCTGACCTGAAACCTGTACGATCTTAGTTAAGAAAGACTCAAACGCCGATGGATCAGACGGTAAAGAGAGGAACGACTAGAAGGGCGGCTGGGAGTGGAGTCTCTATGGTCAGGAAGCATCTGTGAAAGGGGGGAAGTAAATTAGGAGTGAACATGTCTGACAAACTTGAAATGATGCCCAACTTCAGGTTTTGCTGAGTATGTAAATCTTTTAGGTCCCGAATCAACTCCTTTTCAGACTTTCAATTTCGTCCTATTAACCTTAGAGATAGAAACCCACCCCCTAATAAAGTAGCTCTTAAAAAGTATCGACCATTTTCTCACTATTATTTTCCTGAGGAAATCCATACAACTTCACAATATTGGATACTGTTCAGTTCCCTATTCCGAACAGTCTCAGCTGCTGATTTAATTTTCTCATCCATCCTTAATTGGGTATAATTGTGAATGTCCACAAAGTGTGTTAAAACGTTCACAAAAGGAACTTCGTGAAACTATATAATTTGGCTATTTATATAACCATTTACCGAACCTGCTGAGGAAAACTGAGTAGTTCTTCAAGAATTTTCTTTGATCGAGATCGTCGTCTATGTCGGCAGTGATGCACAAACTATCTCTTGATATAAAGGGTGCTTGACGTGTCAGTAGTACTGATCTCTGTTGAAGATGTTCTTTTAAAAAAACACATGACTAGGACTCTACTATCTGCTAAGAACACACTGTGAAACAGCCTTGTTACGTGCTGTGATTACTTGTTCTAATCCTTCTCCAACTACATGTGATGACCCTTCTTCTACAGGGCATATGACCGCTTCCTCCAGCTGTGGTTGAACAGTGTTTAACAATTCCGTCATTAAGTAGCGAAATACCCATTACCCATCATTGGCAGTTTCACGGATAACTTATCTATTTGTCCATTCTGTTCCGTCTCCGGCAAAATTTGCTTTGCGGAGGCTCCGATTTGTTTGACGATGTCCCGCCTGACAGCTGGTGCGCTTCCAGCTCTGCCTTCGTTCATTTCGTGGAGGTATTCGTTGTGAACAAGTGTGCCTCATCTCCTCATCTGAACTGTTGTTGACTGACTTGTTACGAACGAAGAACGAACACGTTGAACCAAATCAATCTTATAGAGAGAACTGTTATTAAATGTTCGGAAGAGTGAAGAGTGTACTCTAATCATTCCAACCAACACCATTGAGAGCAAGAAAGGATCTTACTATTTGTAACTCTAATTGCATCTGTTAAAAAATTCATAACTCCTGCTTCTAAGACCCGCTATTGATGGTGGGGAAAAGGACTGAACACTCCCTTCCCCTGCACCGTTACCGCTTCCAAGCTAAGACGCTTTAAGAACAGGAGTTGCTGATTTCCGGCCAAATATACATAAACACTCCGACACAATTCGTGCGCATCTCGCCCGCATGGGCGAAATCCTGCATAAGTACTGGGTTTTCCATGTGTTTCGGCCCATTCTCCACTTATTTCAGCTTGATTCCGTATTTTTACCTAAACTGTGCTTCACACACGTTCTGCTCTCTTCCTCGATCCGCCTCCACCCATCCCCTCTCTCCGAATAGAGACCAGTTCAGTCACTTCCTACCTCCTATCATCGGTGTTCCCATCCTGCTGCCTGTACTCCTAACAAATTTGGACGCCTAGGTCCAAGCTAACAAGTCTCACTCACGCTCCACCCCTGCGGGTAAAGTCTAGTCCTGCCACCTATCATCAAGGTTCCCATCTGCCGCCTTTCGCCTAACATTTCGAACCCTCTCAGTCCACGGGAGCAGGAGTTATGAATTACTGGTCGAACACACACCGCACACCTAACAAAAAAAACAGACGCAGCTGGCGCTTTATAATTAGTGGAATAAGGGTATCGGGGGCAGGATGAGAGGTGGGAGGCCGGACTTCAACAGGAGCGGGGCCTGTGCGAAAAGTTTTTCCGTCTCGTGACTCTGTTTGCTAGTTGTTCATGCGCTCCATTTATCGTAGTCTTTTAGTAATGAGTACCCTCCAATCTAAACCACCTGTTATAAACGTCCACATTTTGAAACCTTATTCTACTTGCCCAGAACTGTTCCGACTTCCACACGTCATGATCACTGGAGCTCACATTTTAGAGCCAAGGTCATCGCCATTTCCTATATATTTATATAGAGTATATTGCTGTACCGCGTCTTATAGGTTAGCTCATTTTCGCTGCAGTACAGTGCACCAAAGTCCTGGAGATGTGCTTATGCTCGAAGCCATCTGGCGCGTCCTCAGTTTGTGGACAGAGGAACGGCCTTCCACCATGGCAGTTAGCTGCGAACATATTAAAAAAAGCAGTCGCGAACAATCGAGCGAACAAAGCAGCTAAAGGACGAAAAGGCTGCCAACCCGAATGGACTGCTGCAAAAGAGTCTGTCAGAAACTTTGAAAATGGTATGATTTGGTCCCGAGATGGTCGTGCGAGGATGCCCCGATTTTGCACAACAACCCACAGCTCGGCGTTAAGGCAGGGCGGAATAAGGACCACGACGCATCAGAGTGCACATCGCTTCCCCCGACGTCAGGACATTATCGACGGACGCTCTCCTAGACATGTACCTGCAACAGTTAGAGAGGATCAAAGCCGACATCGTCGGTGTTTGCGAAACTAGGAGAGCACGTGCAGTTTCAGCGAAGTGGACAAGCGGTGAAGAAATTCTGCTGGAAGGAGCTGATAATGTGTCCAGAACAGATGGAGTCGGTTTCATCATAAAAGCAATGATGGTCCCGTACGTTTTTTCTTGCGACATTCAGTCCCCTGTCCTCCAGTTGCGGTTCTGAAGATCAAGTTGCAAATGTTGGGGAACCGAACGCTCAAAATTGTGCAAGTATACGCGCCTATTGCTTCAGCAGAAGACGACGAAACTGAGCGCGTTTACGAGGAAATAGAGAAGGATCGAGAAGCCCAAATCGACGTACACTATTGTTCCAGGCGATTTCAGCGCAGTAGTTGGCTCCCGATTGGGCGGTACGGAACACCTTTTAAGAAGGTACGGTGCAGGAGTAAGGAATGACAGAGAAAATCGTTCAATCGAATTTACAGAATAACACCAGTTCTCGACAATGAACACCTTCTTCGAAAAGAAAGCCAACATGTTCGGGCATGGAGAAGCCAGGACACGAAAACTTTAGGACAGATTGATTATGTGCTCACCGATACACCGAGATTATTTGCTGACGTGTCCGTTATTGGGGAAAGTGTGATTGCGACCGGCTCCGATCACCGACTCTACGCTCGGTGATCCTCTGCGATGTCAGAAAATAAAATATAGTTTTACATTCACAAAAACCACTTATACGTCGTGCTTTCAACGCCGACATGTATGCAATGATGATTGCGTCGTCAGACCTACAGAGAAGTGCTGGCAACAGCAGCATAGATGCTGACTACGTAGATCTAGTTAGGAAAATAACGCAGGGCGACGGCGACAGCAAGGCGACGGCGTATATCGCCAGAAGCAGTACAAATGATGGAGAAGAGAGCGCACAAACCGCGGATTACGAGGAACTCTGTGAAGCGATAAGGAAAAAGATTAAATGCGACTATGAAGGCTACAGGTAAAAGAAACATCGCGAAGAAGCAGACAGAAGGGTCAGTCTGAAAGCTGTAGAAAGGGATATTTGCCCTAGGCATCACATACCATCTGCTCTCAAGGATAATACGGGTGTCAGAACGACTAAACGCCTATGGATGAACGAAATATGTACTAACAAGGGAAGGATCCCAAGTCGAAGTGGCCATTTGAAATGGGACCTATACTGCTAGGCGTATTTTTTGATGCTGATTTCAAATCTGCATTCAAAATCTGCCAAACGATTCTCTGAACGAAGTTATGGAGGTGGCTGGGGAACGCTCAACAGGGGAAAGCACAAAAGCCTTGGTCGCCGGCAGCCCATCAGTGGCGGCCTGGAGTGGATGTAAGCGTGACGCTTCATAGGCATGAGACCAAGGATCGAGTTTGGTGGGCCACGGCGTTTTTGCATCTTGCAGGACTTTTTCTTCCATGTTGGAAAAATCTTTTTATGCGAGCTTTACCGCCCTCAGCGACTTTTTAATTGCTGGATGCGAGTCAGTTCCTACTTAAACCGTCTGACATCTAATCCAACCACCAACATTACAAATATTCTATTCTTATTGTTGTACATTTCTAATTCACTGTAGGATAACTTTTACCTATTATAACGGATGCGATCATCTAGCACGACGTGTTTAAAACAAAAAAGTCTTCATAATGAGCGCAACAAATGAAAAAATTCACTCTCTGATAGCGCTCTCCACCTGGATCTGTTTGTTATCTCGCTCTAACAGGTTTGATGGCAAGAAGGACCTGCACATGCTCTTTGGACACTTCCTCATTACCAAACATAAACGACCCTCTAGATGTGCTTGCTGTTTCCTCTTCATCGTCCGGTTCCAACAGTGGATCGGCCTCCTCGTCCTCAATCACGCAGTCTTCTTCGCCTTGAATATCGAGGGTCCATGAAAGGGATTCCGCAAAATAGGGAAAAGATAGAGAAGAGAAACTATCTATCAACTTGTGCTCCTTCCTTGTAAGGGCGCATTCAATATCCCAGGATCCATATATACCATACTTTGCCGGGTTTGCCACACGGCAACAAACACCTTTTTTGAAAACTGACAGCAACCCCCACCTTTTTTAAAATTTAATCGATAGCAGTGGAAGACGGTTTAAGTAGGAACTGACTCGCCCCCAGCAACTAGAAAGTCGCTGAAGGCGGTAAAACTAACATAAAAAGCTTTTTACAACCTGGAGGAAAAAGTCCTGCAAGATGCAAAACCGACGCCGCCCATCGAACCCGGTCGTTGGTCCCGTGCCTGTGAGGCGTCACGCTTACCTCCACTCCAAGCCGTCACTGCTGGGCTGCCGGCGACCATGGCTTTTGTCCTTTCCCCTGTTGAGCGCTCTCCGGAGACCACCTCCATAACTTCGTTCCGAGAATCGTTTGGCAGATTTTGAATGCAGATTTGACATCAGCGTCAAAAAATACGCCTAGCAGTATAGGTCTCTTTTCAAATGGCCACTTCGACTTGGGATCCTTCCCTTGTAAGTTCTTCAACGACTTGAACTCCTCAAAGACGGTAGTCGCAAAAGCCGATCAAACCACTGCAGACGAACCGATCCCAGGTGGGGGAAGAAGTGAATTATACAGTAAAACGGAGAAAAATGTATGTAGGCGGAGAAAACCCCAGGTTGCGACAACATACGTTTCCAACACCTGAAAGCAGGTGAAGTTCCTCGCTTTAAAGCACTGGCAGAGCGCTTCAGCAGATGCTGCAGCGAGAAGAGGATGCCGGCGGTGTGGAAGATATCAAGGACGACAATGTCAATGAATAAAGGTGATCCCGAGAGTTTGGACAGTTATAGACCCATCACTTTGCTGTCTCAAGCCTATAAGACCTTCACCAGAACAATCCTGAACCGCAAAGTCGGAGATCTGGACATGGCCATGAGAAGAGAGCAAGCGGGATTTCGAATTGGGTAATCCACACTTGACCATTTGCACGTTGTATGTGCAGCTGATAGGACGGCGGACGACTATGCATGACATCAAAGTTCGATTCCTTGATGCATGCGCTCGTTTTGCTTTTCCATAAATGCGTCCTAAACGCTTGCAAAACGTTTTTGCGCTCAATATTGGGCATCTACAGGGCTCCCTTCCAATTTAGGAACACTGTAAAGGTATTGCCGAATAAGGGTGGAGCTCTATTCGAGCAAAAGAGGAATTCTGAACATTAGCTTAAAGTGGGCTTAAGAGGCTTCAGAGGAAGGGTTCCAAATGTTCATCAGATCAAATGCTCTTCAACACGTTTCCACCGAATCTTCTGAACGAATATGCTGTCATCATATTAGATGGAGGTCTTTCGTTCTTGTAGCATGACGTAGACACCATCTAGGAAGAGGCGGTAATGAAGAGGTTTCGAACCGTGCTTATCGAAGCTATGAAAACAAGCCCGTCATATTTTGCGATGAAGTCGAGTCCATGAAAGGCGATCACAATGATCCTCTGCGATCGCCTGATGAGGACAGCGACCCGTAGCTTCGCGGAAGAAACCTCTTACGTTTGTGGAGGTTTAGAGGCTCCTCTGTGAAACGTAGCTTTCAAGTTTGTGATCTGGCCCATGAGCTCCAATTCTACGGTGGTGGTGGAAAAGTCTATAAATTTCTGTAGTTGGAGTGTCAAAAGAAGTCGCACTCCTTGAGCATGGGGAACACGTTTTGAACCTTCACGACAGTGCCGTGCACGGAAGATAAGGGGGCATGAGCTTTCGACTTAGTCTATTATTGACAAATTAAGATGTCTTATGAGGTTGTGACTAAGTTATCATAAAATTAATATAGGAGTCCCATTGCACGACAGTCATTTCCACTGGATATCGCTTCAAATCAACAACTAAGGCAGATAGGGGAAAAGTTCAAAGCAAGTCATTGTCACAGGTGGATTCAGTTTTGAGTACGCCGCATCACCACGTTTACCTCATGAAAGAGTTCCTTGAAAGGACGTTCACCTCAAGAATGAGCGGATAATCATGTGTGCATACAAAACTTGTTCTGCACTATTTCTTCAACAATGCCAGTGAACTTGTACCACCACCTCGAAAGGGGTCCGGGAACTTCTCCCCTAACATGGCGTCGCACACGCCGCACCCGCCGCCTATCGCAGGATTGCGATGGAAGTTTAGAGCGCGCAATTTGTGAGGTAGGGAGTCCTTTAATTATTTGAATTGGCTGGCCGCTTTCTTCAGTTTCAATGCAGTCTTGATCGCCGCTTACATAAGAGGAGTCATTTTAATTAATCAAGTCTAATAAACATGAAAACTAAGAGGAAATAGACGAAAAAACGATAAAATCCAATAAAAAAGCAAGCTAGACAAGGAAAAATATCGCGTCCTATCGATCGGCGGGAGGCGAGGTGAGTACGGTAACTGCAGTGACATTTGCCGCATGCCGCAAGGGAGAATGCCGCGATAGGGGAAAAGTTCCATTACCCCCTCGAAAGCGCGGACAGTACTCCCAGAACGTGTGGACCGTAACCCTCCCAAAGAGGGCTCTGGTCGGATGAGCCATTCGACCGCAGTCTACTGTAAGTACAGGGAGCAGCCGCAGATTTCGAAACACCGTATTGAGTGTTCGGGGTAGAGAGGCGTATATATTCGGTCAGTATTGGATAATAAAGGGCGGTATGCATAATTCCCAGGATAGGGAAGGGGAGATTCTCTCCAAAGAAATGTTTGCGAAGAGCGTACACGTTCAAACGGTGTTTTGCCTTTGTTCTATATCAAGATGGTCGCAATGGAGTGAAGTTTTTCCCATAAACAGGAGAAGAATCGACAGCTCTCGACAATCATGTAATGTTTGTCTCTGCGACCTTACCATTGCGAGAGCTCAGAGAAGCGCGACTCCATTTACTCTTCACCCTGGTAAAGGCGGCCTCCCTACCCAGAGTGATAGATGAATCTATCCCTGGATTCGTGCTGGGGCGCCGATGGTCATGCAGACCGTTACCTCGCTATTCACTGCATTATTTAGAGCGTTTATTCCTTCAATTTCTGCTGCCTAATTCACCAAGTATTGTTCTGGTTTTATTCTTCTGCTGCAACCGCCTACTAATTAATTTTAATTGCTGCAGTCGTTGCTGTGGAGCAGTCTAATCTTCTAAAAATAAGAACTCTCTATCCCTGGAGCCTCGACGGAATACAGTTCCGCTAGACTAAGCGGAAGCTGCTTTCGTTCTTTTAACGCAACAACTGCTCAAACGTTGGGATAGGATACTTTGCCTGCTGCCGTTCCTAAGAAAGTAAGACTGTCTTTAGTTCGAAAAATTCAAGTAGTTTCAAGCCATCACAAAACAACTTAATTCATCAAGGTCCCTAAATGTATACGTGGCGAGCTACCTGGAAATGACCGCTTGTCATCAACTAGAGGATGTATAAATCTTACGTGCTCTCGTTGAACTCCTCGAAAAGCTCCTATTCTTCTCGCTCTCGAGCCCGACTACTCTTTGCGTACCGACTCTATAAAAACTACGAGTACTGGGAATGTTGGACGGTTGTTCAAAGAACACTCCTAAAATTTTCAAGACAACAACACTCATTCTCACAGCGGTTCATATACGCTCTTGAATTCCCTTTTCTTCCCTCCTGGTTCTGCGTAGAACTCTTCTGGCATATCAAACTGGCAGTCGTATGTCTTCCTTTGCCTGAACTCGCTGTGAATGAGAATGAAGCATCTGTTAAAGCAATGCATAGCCCACAGCTCGCAGCAACGATCAGTGGTGTAGAGTTTGAGATGTCTCTGAGCGATAGAATGAAACCGATGAACCTTCAGACCACATTCAGAACACGCACATTCAATACATCAACTTGCCTGTTAAAACGCTGGAAATGCTCAAAACCCTTATTGTCTATATCCATGTCACTGTACTTCTTTGTTGGAGCTGACGTTGATGTTCGACGGACATAGGAACTACTGAACATAATCCGGCGTAGTACTGCTAAAAACAAACGACTTTCTAAAAAAAAGAGTGAAAATTTAATCAAGCTTCTTACGTAAAAAACCTTCAATGAGAATATAGCGAAGTGTGTTGGCATAATGAAGCTCATGTGTAAATTACAGTATTTATTGAACGAATGCTTAGGTTCCCCTCTCCTATAACTACTGCTGCTGTTTCAGCCGCAAGAAATTGTTGTTCCATTCAAAGTTACTACCACAGGCAACCCGAAACAAGGCTTTCAAAGCGATCATCAATTTCAGAAATAGACAACTGTCCAATAAAATCAACTTCAACAGGACAGGCAACGTTCGTATCCTTGTTATGTCATGCATCTTACGCTTCTCATCAGAGCCTAAGACTTCATAAGCAAGCGACACCTCGAAACAGAATTGAAATCTATTATTTTCCTTATTATGGAAGCAAACCATTGAAGGCAGCCTTGATTTCCTTACCACTCTTCTCACTGTTTCAAGCACACTTTTTTTCTCGATTGCCAATAACAAATAACACTTCCCGAACTCCACTAAGCCTTCTTTACGACTTTCATAAAGTCGCATAACAATCTCACTTTGGATCCCGCACCGATATCCGCATAAGCCAACCAACCGTTCCATCCCATCGGGGTCGGTTAATTGGTATTACAGTCGTCCGAGAGGATGAAAGCACTGACTTGCACACCGGCTGGCCGTGGCAAGCCATTGTATAGGCGACGCACACATTCAATACTCCACTGCGATTCTGAATCAAAGTCGAATTCGGGGTGCATCTTTCAAACGTGATCGACTAACGCCAAAAGTCTTCACCCTTTTTCATCCCAATCCTAGTTCGAGTAGTGAAACCACAACATCCGCCAAGCAAGCGTGGGACGGAGAGAACATTTAATTAAAAGATACTGATAAATAGTAAAAGCGGTAATTTCGCAGTCAAATGAAGCTTTTATTAACCACACCATAAACCCCACAACGGCTTTCCGAAGGATTCTGCACATGGGAGCACTAGTTTCGAGATATCTGCAGCATCTAACTGAGGATAGAGGATAGAAGGAGATATTTATTGTGCATTGCATTTATTGCACTAGTTTCGAGATATCTGCAGCATCTAACTGTGGATAGAGGATAGAAGGAGATATTTATTGTGAAACACATTGATGCTCGAAATGCTTAGATATCCACTGAAAACTTGGACATTTTCTTTGAAATACAGAACCCCGAGAACAACTGGGCCCGTTAGCGAAAATTATTTCTTTAAGAAACTGAAAGCAAATCGAAAATACCTTTGCAGAAGCCCCAGTTTTGACTCCAAGCACAGCATAGTAATCAACGCCCGGTTCTGATGCAAACTACGCCAACAAATTGGACCTGTTGCCAGAAAGACGAAGCGTTTTCGGAGCACACCGTCAGAGCGCTGCTGCGACTTGACCATTCCATGAAT